AGAAGAGGTGATACTTATGTGACAGTTTTGTTACATAGCGTACGTTCAATTTTGAGATGCTTGCACGAAAAAGATCCATCATTGCTCAATTACCCTGACTGCCAAATATAGGTCTAAATTTGCAGCCCTCCACCGGCAAGTGGTGACGTCTACATACGAATGAAGAAATCTCGAGATGAACATAACAAACAAAAGCGAAATCAATTTTGTTCAAATCATGACCCCAGGGGTAGGGTGGGGCCACAATGGGTGATCAAAGTTTTGCATAGGAATATATACAGAAAATCTTTAAAAGTCTTCTCAAAAACCAGACAGATGCAGCACCTGCGCATACTCCCCCCTCCCCCCCCCCCCGGTGGTTTGATTTTCTTTTATGCATTGGTAAATTCTGTTTGTTTAACTTGTGTATACTCTCAATTTAGTCCACTGGTAAAATTTCATGATTAAATAATTTACTTAACGTATACAGTAACACACATTTAAAAATGACTTTTTATTTATTTTTTTTTTTTTTTATTTTTTTTTTGCTTGTCAAAAGAATTCTGAACCGCCTGCACCCCCCCCCCCCCCCGCCGTTCTGAAAATTCTCGATCCACCACTGAGAACAACAGTAGAACAACAGTAGGCCCGTGATTAGTGATGTTTATATGGAATCATCCTCAGGTAGCACAGATTCAAGTATCTTCAAATCAGACCTGGCCTAGGGTGGCTACAATAGGCGATCAAAGTTTTACATAGGAATATATGGGAAAATTCTTTAAAATTATCTTCTCAAAAACAGCAAAGCAATGATTAGTCATATTCATATGGATTGATTGATTGATTATTATTGTTTAACGCCGAGTCGGCAATATTTCAGCCATATTTCGGCGATCAAATTAAGTGTATATGACAATTATTAAGTTTTTGGTTTCTCTGGCCATATTTATATGGAGCATTGCCTTGCATTGTCATCCGACATGTTCTGATGGACGACAATATTCGCAGTGAGGGTAGGTACACATTGTCGCCGGCGACAATATGAACAGGACGACAAAATGTACCGTTACAATCACTCTGCGTGAAATAGCATACGAGGCACGTCAGTGTGATTCACACACCAATTACATTCACAAAACTACCAAAAAAAAAAAAACAAATGAAATCTTTAAGCAACAATATCTGTGGGGCGACAATATGTACAGTGAGGGTGAGGCACATAATGTCGTCAGGGACAATATGTACATGTGTAACTTTTCAGCCGGCGACAATATGTACCGATGGACGACAATATGTGCAGTGAGAGTAGGTACATATTGTCGCCGACGACAATATGTACAAAACGACAATATGTACCGTCACACCATTTCCATTTTCCTTCTTGATGTGTGTCTGTATTAAATATTTATCATCTCCGTTTTTTTATCCTTTAGAACTGTAAATGAGCTGATATTTGTACAAACGGCCTTTTTTTCAAACGATTATTTTCTTTTTTTAAAGGTTATCAAAATATTTTAAAAGTGTTTTAAAATCACAATAATACCACCTAAAAGTCTCATAAATCCATTTGTTTTTTTTCCCGTTGTTATTTGAGCTAAATTTGTGTTGACTTCTGGACAGGCTTCAAAGAAACGAAAAAAATGAATTTATTAGGGATTTAAACTTTATACTAATCAAATAGGTATCTGAACTTTAATTAACTAATCATTTGAAATCACAGATAAGTTAATAGAAATAAAATCGGTCACTGTTCGTTATCTTCACCTTTTTCATCCTTATCTAAAAGATCTCACATTCATTTATCAGCATTCATTTCAACACAGGTGATTTTGTAAAAATCTTTTAGAATGAAAAAGGTGAAGATAAGGAAACAGTGATCTATTTCAAAAAAAATCTGCAAACAATACATGTCTGTGAACAGGGCATAAACGGACCCCCAAAAATTAGAGGTGGGATCAGGTGCTAAGGAGGAGTAAGCATCCTCTGTTGATGGGTCACATCCGCCATGAGCTCTATGATTGATCAAGTAGACATTACATTCCGTGTATAAATTTAGTATAATCAAATATGAAGATAACGAGCAGTAATCAAACTCAAAAATCCACTGAAACAATACAAATTTAGGATAGAGCATTCACAGACCTCTTAAAACATCAGAGGTGGAATCATGTGCCATGGATGAGTGCGCATCCCCTGTCGACCAGTCATATCCAGCATGTGCTCCTTGTCATGATAGGGCAAACGGAAAAATCCGTAAACTATTCAGTGTGAAAATAATGGCCTAACAGTTTGTATGAAAACCGTCAGTCAACAATCGACACAACGATAGATTGTATGTCGCAGCTATGGAAAGGCTGTCCGAAGGCTTTATATGCATTTTTTATTTTATTTTGAGCTAGATTTTATTTTCAATATGTTATCTATGTATGCATTGTAGTCAAATTGTAAAAAGAGTTTAGTCATATATTATAATAAGCATTTTTGTGATGCCACATGACTTCGTTGATCACGTGACGGACACTTATGAACTCCTAAATGTTTCACACAAATTGCATCGGCACAAGTGCAAAACAAAATTATTTTGAAAAGTTTGTTACATAAGTTTAATTATCGTGATCTTCGGTACAGATTAAGTGCTGCGGGCAAGTCTAAATTTTACTTCTTCAGAAAATATTTCACGAGAAATTCAATTTACTAACATACAACGGGGCATTTTCCAATATTTATCGCAATTTATACAAAATAGGATGAATTACATGCAATCCCCCAGCAATACTCAGATAGAGGACATACCTCTCTAGTAGATTAACATAGAATATCTTCAAATTATCCATATTAATCACTTTTGCTTGTCTACAGACTTGTAAGGGGGAGCGTTTCACTACAGTTGAAACAGTTTGATATTTTACGGACAGTCTTATCCTAGCCGCGTTGCTTACAAAGCCATTATACCTACCATAGAACTTGCGAAATGATGACTTCAAACGGGATTGTTGATATTCTTGTTTCATCAACTTGTTTGTCAATAGCTTGCCTTGTTTTAGAAATTGTTCGTATGTAGAGCATGCTATTTGCGTATCGAATTAACTGAGAAGCATAACCCCATATGCAGTTGATAATGATATATTGCTACAAAAATAAGGGAAGTTAACAATAGAAAAGCTGAAGTCATCACGTTTGTTGTTAAGTTACCTTTAACATCTTTTTCTAGTAAAAAATCCAAATATAAAACAAATGTGTCAGACCCTGTGGTATCTTTTATTTCAATTTCACTGGGATATATCGAGTCAACATATGAATGGAAGTAACTATAGTTAATTGATAAATCGTCGTCGATATATCTAAATGTTGAAGGCTGCAGCAAGTTTTTTCTTCTTCTCATGTACAAGTTTTTGAACTTATTCTGCTTCATATTAATGCAAAAATAGGTCTGCTAATAATGGGGCGCAATTGGTACCCATGGGAATTCCGACAGATTGTTCGAAGACCTGGTCTCCAAAAAACCACGTAGATATTGTCAATTAGAAACTCAAGCATCTTTTTAATATCAACTTTTGAGTACTTGTGTGTACAATCAGAATGTTTTAACAAAATGATTGTGCAAATGACCAATGACAAGGTAAGTAAATTTACGAGTTCAATTTTTATTGATAAAGCAGCTATCTTTGATGTCAAAAAGCCTGAATTTTAATTTATCTTGGGGAGTGGTTGTATACATTGTTGAAAAGTCGTATGATTTGATGTTATTGATTTTGGTAAATTTTTGTGATTTAAAATTTTCTAAAAGTTCCTTGGAGTTTTTAAGTATCCTTATCCGATTTACACCACTTCTTGAATATATTGTTGTACAGTACTAGTACTCCTGAAGTTTCTCCTTCCCTGCCTATAATATTTTAGTGAGGAGTAAAGAAAGAGATTTGGTGGAACATTTACTGGAACCCGCTATATGAAAACAAAGGCCTAACAATTAATATGAAACACGTCAGCTAAAATACGACGCAATGATGGGTCATGATTGCTAACAAGGGCATTATAATGACGAAAGATAAAATGCTGATTTTAAAGGAGGTTGTTGAAATTACTGTAACATCAACTTAGTTGTCAGTAGCCTGCCTTGATTTAGAAATTGATCGTACTCAGAGCATGCTTTTGAGTTTCGAATAAGTTGGAAGACGTAAACCCCATATGCAGGTGGTAGCCGAATATAACTATACAAATAAGGAAAGTTGACGCTAGAAGAAGCTGGAATCATCTCGCTTGTCATACAATTTAGTTGTTAGTTTGCTCTTATCTTCTATATAATCAGTAAAACATCCAAATATGAAACAGACTCTGTTGTGCCTCTTTCAAGTTCACTGGAATATTTCGAGTCTTTATATGATTGGAAGTAACTACATGTATTGTTAATTGATAAACGTCGGTTGAATGACTCATTTTGTTTAAACGACCATTTGAGAATTTTTCTCATATATAGAGATGTCACATGCATTAGGTGAAATACCTCAAATTTTGGCCTATGCATGGCGACTTCATCAGTGAGGAATCTATTTTTCCAACACCTACTGTGACGGGACTTCGGTTTTAAGTCTTATTCGAAAGGTCCGTGACATTCACATCTAGTGCTCAGTTGGTTGCGCACCTGATTCGAAAGTTCGAAATTGATAACATAAGCAAATTACGAGGCCCTGTATAACTTTATCAATTTTCTAGATTTTGATCTATTTATTCAATACTCAGTCCAGTGAGACGCGCCCTCGAGAACACTAAAAATAAATAAATTGAAAAAATCAATTAATACCCCCATCCTCTTTCGCGAAATAAACACAAGAAGACGGTTTTTATTGTTTATCTGAAACTTTATTTTTCATCGAAAGTTAAAGTATCCATCACATTCGCTTAGTTTCACTAATTATTAAATTACATCTTGGAAAGGAAATGAATGGAGAACTGTTTTCTCAATAAAGGCCAATTACCTATTCATGCTTTTTTTTGCATAAGGCCTGAAACTTGGCACTGCACTTAATATCATTCCAAAGAAGTCTACCATTGGAATATACAAAATATGCACAGTCCTCGTTACCAAACGCATTATTTGGTTCGCCGCGGTCCCAAGCAGTGTATGTTAACAAATTTCCATTGGAAGACCATTTCCACGTTCCTTCTTTAAGTGTGTCCGTAGCATCAATCCAACAGCCAGCTACATGTATATGAGCATGCTATTTTATCAACAAAATATTGTAACATGTTCGATATCTTTATCATTTAGCACTTTTGAGTGAACATATAACTCTTTTTTCGAAAGAAACTTTGTTTTGAAACTGATTATAATTTCAATTAAAAAAGGGAAATCATTGAAAAATTTCTAGATAGTGTCAGAAAATACAACCCTACCCTTGAAAGTTTTATAAATCCAGTCACTTTCTCTCTTGGATGTTATTGTAAGTAAATTTGCGCCGACTGCTTGACATGTTTTCTAAAAAAAGAAATGATATCCAAGTATTAGCTACATGTAGTTTGGGATTTTAATTTTAGGAAAATACATGTACAACCGATATCTTGAAACAAATCAAAACGGAAATTATCTGAAATCACAGATATTAACAAGCATTCTGAGAGTATTGCATTAGCAATACTAGTCCCCTACCGGCAAGTGTAATCAGGTTCCCGATAAATTTGAAAATGCATAACTCCGTCAAAAATCAATGAAGCGGGACGAAATGCAAACTTGATCTATAACTTATCAAGGTTAAGTTACATGCCAAAAATCAGCTCAATATTTGCAGGCATTTAGAAAAAAAATGCCTAAAACCCTGAAAAATTGAAAAGGTCGTAATTCCGTAAAAAATCATTGAAGCGGAACTCACATACCAAAAATCAGCTCAATATCTGCAAGCATTTAGAAAAGAAGGGGAAAACCAAGTGGGACAGACTGACAGACAGACAGAGGGACAGCTAGACGGACAGACAGACAGCTAGACGGACGGACAGACTCAGAGGAAACCTATAGTCCCCTCCGGTTTCACTGGTAGGGGACTAATAAGGATACGTTGGTTTATTCTACTTAACAATCGTTTCATAACGAAACAAAGTGTCATGTAATAAACACAAGCTCTACACTGACGAACGATAAAATCTGAGTTAGAGAAATTTGAAAATAATCAAGTGCGATAGCCTTACGGAAAGCAATAATTAATTGACTAAATCATGTTAATAACATCATTGTTCTGTGCAATTTTTTTCCCTCATGGCCACTTCCTTCCTTGTGTTTTTCTTTTTTGAGAGTATAGCTAATATTCCGAGACATATAGAATATCTATATCAATTTAAAAAACGTATATACATGTAGAAAGCTATATGATAGCTAAATGAAATAAAGAAACCCGTAATAAACTTATTTATGAGGCAAAATATAATCTTCTCTTATTTCGAGGTGATTTCAATGATTTGAAATACAGTATATAGGACCCTCTCAATTATTCCTAGTTCTGCGGCTTCAGAGAGGATAATATCTCAAAGAAACACTTGTTTAGCTTTTTAAAAAATCGCACAAGAAGATGAATGTTTCCATACAATTTTAGCTGACAATAAACATACCAGCATATAACAGACATATTTCGATCAGAAAAGTATCTTTGAAAAATAATTATAGAATTAAAATTCAGAAATGATAATCGTGAATGAAAGTATGCATAGTACGGGCCACATGCATGTTAATTTTCTTATCTTTTTATGAGAACGTTTGGTTTTAAAAAAGAATGAAGATTTCATAATTCTAAAGTGACTGAGAATTTATTATGACGATTTCAGAATTAGTATTATATATACATGTATACTTATGGACAAAAGTTGATCATAGTTTCGCTCTCACATTTTATTGGTCTTTGATGAAAATAGTTGTACAACATTTTATATTTCATTTCCAACTTATCGATTAATTCATTTTCCTATAACTACCTTCGATGCAGACCAAGAAGCTGCTCTTTCAGAAAAACGTATATAGCAGTTTCCTTCAAACTTTTTCCAGCCTTTAGGACACGTCTTATTGCCCCCTGAATAATTTGATGCAAAATATTTAATCCTGTTCATATGAAATTACCATTCCTTTCCTTTTAAATTTATTTCATTTTGTATATTTTTAGACATGCGTTCATATGTTTAACCATCGTGTACTTGGTGGTAATTTTACATTTAATTCAAGCACTATTTATTAATCATTATTGTTGCTAGATAAATTTGTTTACCTTTGGTCGATTCAGAATCTTTTTGTGACGTGAAACATCCTGAAGTTTTGCAAATAGTTTTGATCTTTGTCTCAAAATGTGTTTCCTTCATTGTAAAAACAGAACAGCAATCAGTTACATCTTTACACCGTTATAGAAATGAACCGACTTAACAAATAATAAATTATTTTAAGATAATGCCAAATTGATTTTAAAAAATTCTAGTATTTAGCCATTACCGTCAGCACCGAGCCCATGGCCTTAGCGATTTTCTGAAACTTGATATGTTGATCCCATAGTTTTGTCTTTAGTGGATCACTAGATTTTCCTGACAGATTTTTGGCATCCATCAGTAAAATAAAATATGATATGTACACACAAATTACAGGAAGATACATTTTTGAATAACTTTCCGCTTTTGGTTTAACTTCACAGACTCAGATTTATTATTTATTGTAAATGTTATCCTTTCGTGAGACAAGGCATATACGACGGCATTAATTGCAATATTGCATGTCCTTAGTTATTCACGATAGCATCCGTGTAAGGGATATCGATTCTTGATTCATTCCATAAACGGAAAAACAAATACAATAAACATATATTCACCTGTTTTGATTTTTTTTCTCTACAAATTCAGATATATGGATTAGAAGATTTAAAATTGTATCTCAATTATTATTTTTTATTAAAGGACCATATCACATGGAAAACAAAATCACTTTTTTATTTATTTACTTTTTAACTTTTTAATTTGCTATTAACAAATAAGTTCGTGGCGCAGTGGTTAGAGCGTTCGCTCTAGAGTCGCGGAGTAAGGAGTTGATCCTTACGTCGCGGGTTCGAATCCCTCTGTGGGACGTGAAGACCGGTCCTTCGGATGAGACCGTATAAACCGAGGTCCCGTGTCGCAGTAGGTGCTGGCACGAAAAAGATCCCTCACTGCTCAATGGCCCTGAGTGCCGAGTATAGGTCAAAATTTGTAGCCCTCCACCTGCAAGTGGTGGCGTCTCCATATGAGTGAAAAATTCTCGAGAGGGACGTTAAACAACAAACAAACAAACAAACAAAATTAAATAAGTTGATAATACAGGTATTTCAACAACCTCGTTTAAAGTCAGCATTTCAAACATTCTATGGTCGTTTTAAAGACCTTAGCAGAATAGGCCATGGCTGCATTAATTAATGAAATGTAAACAAATGAACCCTGGGATCTGGGTTTGTATGCATAAAAATTCTTAAGTTCTTAAGCATATACTCAAGTACCATTTTCCTGCTTAGCAGATTGGAATTTTACTTACCATCTTGCTAAGAATGTTGCATAAAACTTCTCAACTCTTAAGTATATGATCAGTTTATGCTGAAAGTTAAGCATGGTCTTTACCTGTCTTAAATTCTTAAGTATATAGCTTCAGATATTTCAAAGAAATAGTCACACAAAAATAATGAAAGGAATTTTACAAGAGTTGAAATCAAAAAATGAAGAGATTAAATCAATAAAATAAATAACAATCTGCATGTATCTACTTATTATGTGGCATTTACATACTTTATTGGACGCTAGCGATTTATTATCTAAACGGTTTAAAATATGACGTTATTTGATTGTTGCGTAGTTTTGTCGACGTCCAGCACCTGTGACAATGCTGCCCTTCTCGAGTTCAGTGCACAAGTACGATGTACGAGTCTGAACATATATCATCAGGGATAAAATCATTAATAGATCACATTTTTTTTTTTGGTACTAACAGAAATGAGTGAGTTTTGCAGAATATCAAATAGGGATATAACAAAAAGGATTTGCAATCTTACCAAGTGAAATTCCTAAAGATTCACTTATCTTTCCATGTTCATTTGAAAGTTAATTTGAAGAAAAGAATCTGGGGGGATAAGACGAGCCATGTGCCCATGCCCATTTTCGGCTATGCAAGAACATTTATTGGAAAAAATCTCTCAATTGTTCGAATTTACTTAAGCATTTTAATGTTTACCGTAGTTTTCAAAATGATATTTATATTCTAAACAAGCTAAACAGTTGACTTTCATTTACTGTCACAAATGTCTAACATGGGTAAGGACTTCTATTAATTAATCTGCATATTGAGTGTTTACACTTATTGTAGAGATATTATAAAAATGTTAACATCGTATATAATGATAATGGTGATCTAGTAGCGCTTTTATTTAAAATAAATAAAAACGGGAATAAAAGTATTCAAATATCCATTATAATTTTTATCCGGCATTTTAAATAATTTACTGTAAATAAGTTCATTACTACATGTATATATTTTATTTCCAGTGAAAAATATGTTATTCCTATAGACATTTTTATAAAGTAAAACAAAATTAACCCACCCACCCCCAAAAAGTCAAAAAATCAGAGCATGACTCAAACACTTTCCTTCAATAAACGTCACTTTATAGAGCTCCTCGCTAACCACTAGACCACGGAGTCGCACTTACATTTCTATTTAAAAAGCATACGGTTTTCTATATTTAGCAAGCGTTTTCGGACTTAGAATTTTTTAAGATCACGGTGAAAATTTAAGTAAGTTAACTTAATTTTTTATGTATAGTGGGTCTTCATACCAAATTTTTGCAAGTGTAAAAAGCAACATCTTTCCATTGCCTTTCATTAATCGTTCTAAAAAAATGGTACGATGACCCACTCTATTTAAAAAATGTAGTTATATCATCCAATTTATGTCCAGTTTCTGTGAAAATTGAGCGTGATGCCATTTTGTTGTGTTAATCAGAATCATGTTCGCTGTTACAGTATTCAGGTTTTGTCAAATTTATATGCAAATGGTAATAAGCATTACATTAATTCAACAAAAAGTGAAATTTTTGTGAAATGAATTTATTGATTTTTTATCGATCGTTATGTAGGCATATGACTCGGCTTATCCCCCCCCCCAGTTTCTTTTTGATTGCAATTATAACATGGTGCTAAAACAAGCAGTTAATAGTAAAACCAGTATATGTATATTAATGCACTAATTGATTTGACTCTATAGAAACATCGGAATACATGAACTTTAGTAAATTAATAGCTACAAATCAAAATATGAGTGTATACATATAATCATCAGGAATTACTAATAATAATCTGAATACTTGTATTAGAAGTTAATGCATGTCACAGGTAACATGAAAGTAGTTGACTTTGAAATATTTACATTTCCAATGTCTTTGTCTGAGATAAAATTACAAATTGTAAAAATACTTTATTTCTACATAAATCTACTGGTTCATCGATAGACGCGGTTAAAAAAAAATCACGTGCTGGGCGGGACAAATAGAGACAGAAGCGAGGCTATTAGCACCGGAATTTGCAGAATCAGGAGCATGTAAATATAAGGAATAACTGTCATATTTTTTGGATTCATGACGATGATCAATCGAGTGGCTTGCGTGATAATGTTATGCATAAACGCCTTCGGCGTTTATGTAAATTATCACGCAAGCCACTCGATTGATCACATCATGAATCCAAAAAATTAAGACAGTTATTCCTTAATTACAATTAATCTAAATAAAATGTTATTCATCAAAACTTATTCTGAAGTAATAATTATAATATTTCTTAATTCTAAACGTACCATTCCCAGGAATGCTTAAAGTTCTACAAGAGATGTGTAACAATGCTGGAATACACTTATCACCAACAAATAGGGGCATAAGAATCTTACAGTAACCTACATCATGGGAGCGAGAAATGTACACAAACTATAAAGGGTTGGTAAAAACACTCCCCTCTCAAGTTAAATTTGAGGAACGTTTAAAACCTTTCCATATAGATACAAAAGAATGTTTTAAATCTATTTCCATCAACATAACAGGCACACAATATACTACACCATATATAAATGTCAGGAAAACCAAAAAAAAAAAAAAAAAAAAAAAAAACAAAAAAAAAAAAAAAAAAAAAAAAACTATCTAGGGGCATTGATATTTATGTGAATAAATTATGCAACCAAACCATTATGCCTAATGAGTGTCATAAAAAACCAGTAATCATAGCCTGGAGAAATGCCCCAACCATATACTGGGGCACAATAACAAGGCAATAATTACTGCTACAGATTACCCCAGCCATAAAGCAGCTAACAATAATGCAGTATTCCTAGATAGAAAATAAGCTCCAACTGCATAGTTAGAAAATTAATAAACCAGTTATCCTACCTAGGAAAACATTCTGAACATATATGGGCACAACAATAAAGCAGTAATACTAGCTAGAAATTAAACCCCAATCATATAGGGGCACAATAATAAATCAGTGATCAGGCTAAGAGACACACTCCGACCATGCAAGGGCACAATAATTGAAATTTCTTATTACTAGTAATTTAATTTTTAATCCTGGGTATGGGTTCAACATCTTGCACAAACATTCCAATTAAGGCATATATACTTCGTAAGTTATTATTCCTAAGTCTACGAATAACAACAATTAACTATAATCCCAACTATATCTGGGGCAAGATCCTGCTAAAATAAAAATCCAATCATATACGGGTACAGTATTCTGCAAAATTGAACTTCGCCATATAGGACATAAAGGATCCTAATAAAATTGAACCCCTACCATGAAGAGGTATATGATCCTGCTAAAATTAAACCCCAACCATATAGAAGCACAGCATCCTGCTAAAATTAAACCCCGACCATATAGGGGTACAGGATTCTGAAAAAATTAAACTCCAACCATATAGGAGTAATGAATCCTGCTAAAATTAAACTCCGACCATATAGGAGTACAGGATCCTGCTAAAATTAAACCCCGACCACATAGGGGTACAGGATCTT